GATCATGTTCAACTGGTTAAGTATCAGTAATACAAGATTTTACCAGATTTTATATAATTAGCGGATAATAATCAGTAGACCCGGATCAAATAGTGACCGGATCTACCCGGATGGGGTCTTGTTTATCTGTTGAGAGGGCCCAAGATGGTTTGTATAAGTAAAACGAGTTGGGCTTGGTTTATACAAGTAAAGCGAGTTGGGCCTTAGTGATATCGAAATCTCTTTGTTTGGTCACAGTGATATCTCCATTCCCGAATTGCCTTAATCCGAACAACAACGAACGAAATAGAGAGATTTGCAGAAATTAATTTCCCGGCACATGAATTTTCCCAGTCAAGATTTTCTCAGGAAAAAAAAAAAAAAATCTCATAGCTTCGTGACTTCCGTATCTAGTGTTCGATGGGAAGACTAAGAGAGTCAATTCACGTGATTCTTCTACTGTTTGTTCTTCTTCTCCTCCTCCATCAATCACTCTCTCAGGTATTCAAAAGATCAAGCCTTTGTACCATCAAATCTTTATTCATGTGATTTTGTTTCTTCTTTTTTTCTGATCTATAATCAATGAATTGCACTCTATAGGTGTTCGAAGAATCTGAATCTTATAGGTGAGTCTCCAGCAATTCCACTCGATTTAACTTCTTTTGTCTGTACAAGAAAAAAAAAATGATTAGTCTTGTCATGGAATTTAGATCTGTTAAGGAACAAGTAGGAGGTAATGTTCCAGAGATACATTGTTCCAGACAAAGAAGTCGAGCAGCTTGGCAGATTATAGAAGATGTAAGTAGAGAACTAACAATGATTTTTGTTGAATATTTTTCCATTTTATTATCCAAATTTTACTGAGTTTAGGTAGGTTGGTTTTTGATGGGTTTGTAATTTGGGATTTCTTGTAGTATTTGACGCCGTTTGTGGAACGTGAAAGATATCAAATTCCAAAGAATTGTAGGCTTCATCCTGATAATGATTTATACAGAGATCAAGAACAGCACAAGATTCACGTGGATTTATTCGAATGGAAATGTGGTTACTGCAAGAAAAGTTTCAGTGAAGAGAAATTCCTTGACCAGCATTTCAACACTAGACATTATAATCTTCTCAATACGGTATGTTGATTCTGTTACTGTGGTCCTCTGTTCTATGTTTCTCATCTTTGGGATACAAAGTTAATATGAAAGTTTTATTCTTTTTGATATTTTGCTCATTTTTCACATCATTTTCTTACAATGATATTCAAAAAGTCATCAGGTGTGTGATGTGCTTATCACTAGATTTTAAGATTACTTTCTGGTTTCTGCGGTTCAAAGGAATTCACTTGAGCTGATGCTAAAAAACTTTTTTGAATGCTTCAGACTGATTCAAAGTGTTTAGCCGACTTGTGCGGTGCATTGCATTGCGATTTCGTATTGAGCTCCAAGAAATCAAAGAGCAAGTGCAACCCTGCAGCTGTTGCCAGAAACCGTCATCTCTGCGAGGTTGCTTTCTTGTTTCAATTTTCTTTACCTTTACCTCTCTGGATTCATGACTTCTTACTATTCTCCTTCGATACTAATTTACTGGTTTATTCTCTTTCTTGATTATTTAGAGTGTTGCCAATAGTTGTTTCCCAGTGAGTCAAGGTCCCTCAGCTAGCCGTCTTCATGGTATGATTCCTTACTGACAAGCCTTCCAATTGAATCTTTGCTCATTGAATTCTAAATGTTTCGCAAATTAGTTCCTTGAAGTGTGCCCAAATTATCCTCTTTGGTTTTGTTTTTTTCATGAATGAAGAACACTTCCTGCGCCAATTCTGTGATGCTCATACCTGCACTGGAAGTAATAAACCGTTTCCTAGAGGAGGCAAGGTAAGATCCGTTAAGCCGTCGCAGTTACTCATGTGTGATAAATGGGGCTGTTAGTTATTTCTTGTGGAAACCAATAAAAAGAAAAATATAAGTTTTCCTATAACATATGAGTCTATGCTAATTCGTGCAGAAGAACTCGGGTGTCTTCTACCTTGCCATATCAATACTGACCTTGATGCTACTCCCGCTCTTTTATCTGCTGGTCTTCTTACACCAAAGGTACCGCATGATGTTCACTGTGGTTTTCTTTTTTTCTCATCGCTTTGTTCTTCCGAAGTCTTTGGTCACTTTGTTTCCATTGTCCTCCTTGAAGAGAAAAGAGAAGCGGGACACAAGAGTTGCGTCGGATTATAAAAGTAGGAAAAAAAACAAAACCGTCATAAGATGGTAATCCTCTCAAACATTGGCGTGTTGAATATGTACAAATTTCATTCTCTAGACAGGCTAAGAATCTCGCTGAAGTATATCAAATCATTTCCAGTTCCTAAAATCTACTCTTTAACATTTTTTATAGGTGAGCTTCAAACTGCTCATGAGAGAGCAAGGGGTGTTCAAACCTGACATTGGTTCACTGAATCACAGATCTTCCACATTGCTTCTCCTTCTCAGAGCTTTTCTCAAACCAGATACTTTATGGATTCCCAAAATAGTGTTACTTTGGGGTTTTGAAGCCAGTTTCTATGGATATCAGATATTCAGATGGGTTTCCAAAGACAAATGATTTCTCTGTAAGCTTGTAGAAACAGAAAATTTCCATCCACAGATATAGGAATAGTGATTTCTCTGTAATTTAATCGAATCTTCATACATATCAATGATTCAAGTTTGAAACACAATCTATAACAGTAAGGATGTACAAAAACAACCTTTCTTTGTTAGTAGCTTTAAAGATTTAAGGAGATAAGACACCAAACGCTAGAGATATCAACTCGTTAGAGAGGAGGAAACCATCTGGATCTTTCAGCCTAAGGTACCTCACATGATTCTCGATCTTCACTTCATCATTTGCAATTAAGGTTTTGAATTCATCGCTCATTACTTCTCTTCTAATATCATCCAAACAAACAATGTGCCCACTTTCCACATAACGCTCATACACTTTACAGATCGAGTTCACTACATCTCTGCCAAAAGCTTCTCCAAACTCCTTAAGTTCAAGCCCTTTAGATGTTCTGAAAGATAGCATTATGATGTCTGTCGCGACATCCTTGAGATCAACATTACCGTTTCCACACCAGTTCACTGCACCATTCTCCAAGTCAGCGACGTAGTTTGTGTATTCCTTAAGCTTCCTTGGCCTTGAAAACCTCAACCCTCCAACATAACTCGCTGAACCTAAACCAAAAGCATAGAACGGCTTATTCTTCCAGTATATCAAGTTGTGTTTACACTTGAACCCGTCTTTCGAGTAACTGCTGACTTCGTAATGCTCATAACCTGCAGCACGGAGCATCGATGATGCTGTTTTATAAAACTCTGCAGATTGTGTTTCTGAAGGGAGAGGAAATTGGCCTGGAGTGTACCTACACAAGTTCATGATCATCATTTCGCTACTGTTCAGATTACAATCAGAATTCTAAAAGCAAACTTCGATTATATACACTTACACGTTTCCAAACTTTGTGCCTTGTTCCACTTGCAGATCATATACAGAGACATGATTCGGCTGCGATTCGATAGCTAATCTCAAACTCTCTTCCCACATCTCCAGTGTCTGGTGAGGCAAAGAAGAGATAAGATCCATACTCCAATTCTCAACTCCACATTCTTTAACAAACTCTATTGCCTCATATACTTCAGAGACACCATGAGCTCTTCCACAAGCTTTCAAGAGCTCATCTTGAAATGCTTGAACTCCCAAAGAAACTCTGTTCACTCCCAATTCCATCAATTCCTTGAGTTTCTGAGCACCAAATGTGCCTGGATCCATCTCCATTGATATCTCAGCATCAGTACTCAACCCAAAATTCAAATTCAATGTTTCCAGAATCAAAGAAACAAGCTTCGGTGGAACAAGAGAAGGCGTTCCTCCCCCGAAAAACACCGTCTCGAGCTTCGGGTTCGTATCAAAACCCGTTCTTGTCGCTTTTATCTCTCTAACGAGTAAATTCACATAGTTTGTGATTCGTGGGTCATCTGCTTTTCCTTCCATGTAGACATTGGACGGGGTCGATGAAGAAGAGGACGACCCTAGAGCCAAGATGGGGAAGTCGCAATAATGGCAGCGTTTACGACAAAACGGAAGATGAACGTAGGCCGAAGTTGGAGTACCTTGGTGTAACGTAGTCAGATTGGTTGACGCATTTCGTCGAACACTTGGTGGAGTATCCTCAAGAACGACATTAAAAGCTTTAAAAATCAACCTCGAAGCCTTGGGTTTACCTGTAAACGATGAGAAAATTGGAGAAATCGTTGTCTTCAACATAATTACC